GCCTGCTGATATCAGGAGCCATGCGAGATGAAAGAGAAACAGGATTTGAAATATTTTCCCCATCTCTCGAGTCTTGAATGCTTCTTTAATCTTTTTCCTTGCATTTTTCTTTCCTGGGCACATACTGTATTTTTTTTCCTTTTTCCAGTGCTACATGAAAAACATTTTCTCTCTTTCTCTATTATCTTTTCAGTCAAATTTGCCAGATGATGTCTTTGAAAATGGAACAGCAACCACCGAGAAGCGACCTCTTTCTTTCACTTTTGGCGACTTGCCTTATGAAGACCGCGTGTCCCCTGCCAATGCAGCAGAATCCTCTTCTGCTCACGTCAGCTCCAGCCCTGACATCACTGCGACCCCCACCCAACACCGAGCTCTCAAGTCCTCCAAGAGCTCAAGCCTGGACTGTAGCAGCAGTGAGTCCCGCAGAGACTGTGTCGCTGAGACGAAGGACCTGCCATCATCCCAGGGAGAGAGAGCAGTGGCTGAGAAGAAGGCCACCCCAAGGGCAGCTCCTGAAGTTTGCCAAAAAACCTCCGACGCTGGGAGCGATTGTGTCTTTATAGAGACAAGTGTCCCGGTGTCTCTCCTGCAGGACACGGATGAAGGTTCAGAGCTCAAGCCTGTGGAGCTGGATACCTATGAGGGCAACATCACGAAGCAGCTGGTAAAAAGGCTTACGTCAGCAGACACACCCATGACCCCAGAGAGGCTGCCGTGTGAGGGATCGATTAGTGGGGAGTCAGAAGGATATAAGTCTTATCTCGATGGAAGCATTGAAGAAGCCTTGCAAGGGCTTCTCTTAGCTCTTGAGCCACATAAAGAGCAGTATAAAGAGTTTCAGGACCTGGACCAAGAAGTAATGCATCTGGATGACATCCTAAAAGTGAGTACGTTTTCAGAAAATACTACCCTAAAGAAAATCTGAGGGGGTAGAATCAACTCCCCTTCCTCGCAGACATCAAAGTAGAGTTTTTGGAGATCAGTAAAATTCCTCAGTAGCAGTAGATTTGCTCCTGCTTGGAGCATCCTTTCACAGTGTTGCATTTTTAAACTTGACTGCAATGTATTTACCATAGCCTTGTATCCTCAAGCAATGAATCTTTTAATCTACTCGAAACGTGCGGGAGAGAGAAAAAGGTGCAATGGCAGAGAGGTCATTAAATTAAAGCCTTCTCTGAAGAAACCACTAGTGAACCTGTTGCTTGTGCCATGCTGGAGATCAGATTACAGCCAGCCATCTGCCCTTAAAATCTTATGGGTCACATCCTCGGTGGGTGTATTTGAGGATACTACCCCTGAACTCAATAAGGCTGTGTAAAACTACACCGGCTGAAGATCAGGCCTTGTAGCCTGAATTTCCTAAATTGCCAAAGGGATTTGAAAGCACAAGTCTCACTGAAGGCTGCCGTCCCCACATCACCAAGGCTTTTTCCAAGCCTTTTCCTTTTTCCCCACCCATTTTTAAAATGAGAGGCATCCTGTCATTACACCAGGATGGACAGAACATGTTGAAAATTAGGAAGAATAGAAGGGTTCTGCATGTGTGTTGTTAATATGTTTACTGCCGATCACTGTGACTTGTATCTCCCCCATGAATAATAACTCATGATGCATTACTGTGCAGAGAGTATTATATGGGAAATAATCATTTCAAATGCTTCATATTCATATGCAAGCTGGTGTGCTAGTCATTTAAGTCTCATCATTTAAAAAACACAGCTGAGGAGGAAGGAGGGAAGCATTTGTCCTTCAAATTTTTACGAAGAAATTTTGTTAACGTCTTTGTTTCCATCGGTGTTTGCAGCTGCATGGTACTTTCCCAAATTCAGTGCTTTTTTGACAGCCTGCAGCCCCTGTTTCTTGCACTGTTTCCCAAGGAGGTTTGAGCAGGCAAAGCTACCATTACTATTAGTTTTTAACTTAGTGGCTGCTCTGCAGCTTGTACAAAGAGGTCAACTATGCAAACAGCAGAGGCACAATGGAGACTTGATTTACACTCCTTTTATCAGAAGTTACAAAGGGACAGACATGGGATGGGGGGGAAGAGAGAGGACGGACGTGTGCAGACAGGATTCCTGCACACAGGAGAAGGACGCCTTTTTCAGATCTGCTTTATGTCTGCGTGCTGCCTATTGATCAGCTCGCAGACCAACACTCAGCATCGCCAGCAGCCGTGCTGGGCTCCCCGTGCAAAAAAGGTTGAGCTGGAATCCAGCTGCAGGTGAAGAAATCTTTCTTGGCCATATCAGATGGGCAGAGGAGAAGCCCACATGTTGCTCTTTGCTTTTGCCTGAAGAAGCTGTACTACCAGTCCTGAAAGAAATGGTAGTTAAACCCATTGGTGCTGCAGAGGAGGCGGGATACAGCACCCAGCTGTGTCACAGAGGTGTTGGGAACAGTGGTTGATCAGCTAATGACTGTATGGTCAGCTTAAGGTGTCAAGCATCATTAAGTGCTAACGGATGACCATTATAACCTTAATACTGTGTGCAAACAAATTGGAAACAAAAGTCCAAGCCTCCTCAGCTCTAGAGGAGCTGGTGCTGAGTCTGAACTCAGAGCCCAATGCATTTCATTCTACAAGCCGAGACAAAGTCCTGGCTTCTGCCTGGGCCTGGAAGATATGGCTTGCGGAATGGCACCTGTGGCTCCTGGCTGTTTCTGATGAAATAATCACATAGTGCTAAAGGTGATGAAGTCATTGCACAAACTGGCGGAGGTGATTCCTCGAGTTACATCTGATCCTGCAAAGTGACCCTGGAAGCAACTCTGTGGGCATGTGTTGATGAATCGCCACATGGGACCAAGGCCTTTGACACCTCCTACAGCAACAGCAAGGCTTCTGTCACATTTCTTCCCAGCAGGGAGATGGGATGGCTTCCCCCCTCTCTAGCACTGTTAATTCCCGAGTTACAGTACTGCCTTTCTCTGTCAGCTAGGAATGCAACGCATGATTGGCTTTTCCTTGATAAGCCGTGTGGCTTCAAAGGCCACAAAAGTCCTCTCACCCCATTATAAATCCACAGATATGGCACCAAATTCATCCCTGGCTAAGCTCTGTTGGAGTTACATCTGGAATACATCTGATAGTGCCATTGGATACATATAACTTGGTTTCCGTAGCTAAGAACAGTGATTATTGTACGTGCCTTCCCCTTTCAACTTCCAGTTCATTAATTGGCATCTCTCCTTTTGGAAGGTGCCGAAAGCTGCGTCACTTGGATTCAATATGTACTTCTTGTTTCTATAAAACACACCAAATTTTGCCTTTGAGGGTTTTCTTTTGGGAAAGAGAAGGGGTGAGATGGGGAGGGGAGGAGGAAGGGAAGTGTTTTCCAATTCTCAGGCTTTGCTTGTATGTGCTATGAATATGAAGGTTTGAAATGAAACACCCAATAAAATGAACTTTTAAAAATAAAATGAAGAATTTGAAAGTTTTAAGCTTTATCCTTTTTTTTTTTCTTTTCTTTCAGTAGTAGCTAATATCTGGGGTTTTCATTGGTTTGTTCTGCCTTTGCAGTGCAAGCCAGCAGTAAGCCGAAGCAGGTCCTCCAGTTTAAGTCTAACAGTTGAAAGTGCTTTAGAAAGCTTTGATTTCCTGAACACCTCTGACTTTGATGATGAGGATGGTGGTGGTGTGGAGGTTTGTAATGGTGGAGGAGGTGCAGACTCAGTATTTTCAGATACTGAGATTGAGAAGAATAGGTAAGTTTGTAGTAACTGCCAGCTATGCTTACGCCAAACTGATACCCTAGCTTTTGTTGCTGACAGGGGATCCCGGTGCACACGTTATTCAAGGAAGACTGATTAATCCTTGCTGAGTTTATAGGGTCAGAGGGTTCCCCGTGGCTGCTGCTTACAAAATCTTTAGCTTCCAGGATCATTTTTTTCCTGTTCAAATATACGCAATCTGTCCTCCAAAGGAGAAGGGTAACTTAAATTAAGCTGACATCAATATTGGCAGAGCCTCTTCCTTGACATAGGTTTGGACCTGGCTTTCCTTGGATGTAATTACTAATTCCTCTGTGGTTTTTCCCCCCTCCCTTTGTCTTTTCTCTCTAGCCGAATGAGTCTTTGCAGTGGATTAAGCTTGTCAGTAACAGTAACACAGGGCCAGATTTAAGCAGCATGGTGTAGGTTTCCTTTGGAATGTAAGAGTGATGACTGGTACTCTGTTCATGGCCCTGCGTGTTACCTGCCCTTCTTTCATCACTTTTGGTCTTTCTGAGAAAAAAGAGGAAGAAAAAAAAAAAAAAAAAAAGGCTGTGATGTTCGTGCTGTGGTCTGCCATTGTTGTGTGACCTTAAGATGCTGTGTTTCAATCATTACATCCTAAAAGCATGTTTGCATCCTCAGAGCCGACATGATGCCCAGCAGGCACATAAGTGGCACTAGAGCTGGGAAAAAAAGAAAAGAACATGGTTCCCTAGGACCCTGTGCTTTCCAACCAGGGAGCTGTACATCTCACAGCTTATCATGGCTTGTTTGAAACAATTTTGAAACAAACAAGCGACGATCATTCAGTTCCCATAATGTCACTCCATATCCTTTTTCCAGAATAAAATTTGGTGGGAAGAAAAGTTTGGAAAAATGCATTGCTTGCTAAACTGGCACTGAGCTGAGTTCAGTCTGCATTGATTTAAGGATCTGGCTTTAACCAGGCACTTTAGCATCAATTTACCTTAGCAGCAAAAATTAAGTTAGTTATAAGCTAACTTAGAAATAAAATCTTTTATGTTAAAGTAGAAGTTAAAAATTCCCTTTTTTCCCCTCTGGCTCATCCCTGGACATTGTAGATTCCCGCTTCCCTTTTTAGATGTGTGATTGTGTAACTCAGTGTAAAGACTGCAAGTGTTGAAACTTCTGAACTTGCAGCCAAATACACTTGCCATCCGGGGACTGACCTCGGGCTTTGCATTTAAACGCAGGAAGGACCGTTTGTACAACAAGACAATGTTGGAAATAATGATTTAAAACACAGTGAGACTAGCTTTACGCTCTTACAGAAACAATTGGCAAAGTGAGATGTACGTATTGTGCCTAAAACAGCATATGAAAACATCATGTCTCTTACTCCAGCAGTGGTTTTCTTTTCCTTCTGCAATGAGCGTTAAATTTGGCACCGGGAGGACACCGAAAGCGCAGAGAGGTTCTTAGCAGCTCGGTGCTTGGGATGGCACAAATTGTTATGGTGCTTAATCCAGCGTGACTGGGGAGATGATTCACCAAGAGATGGAAGAAACCTGTCACCACCGAGCACCAGTAACTGGGGATTAAAAAGGCTTGCTGGTGAGGGCGTCGCATCTCCCAAGGCAAACCAGTCAGGGGACAGACAGCTGTCCGTGCCCGGCCAGGGCAGCACTGCTCCTTTGTGATATGATGTGTTCATCGCAAAGTTTCTGGCTGCTTTCAGCTCTTTTGCTGTGCTCGTTGCTCATCACCCTGAGTGAGCATGTGTGTGTGTGTGTCGGCCGTGGCGGCGGTCGGCCCTACACTGACGTCCCTTCCCTCATCCCTCCCCAGTTACAGGACGGAGCACCCAGAAGCCAGAGGCCACCTGAGTGAAGCTCTCACCGAGGACACGGGCGTGGGCACCAGCGTGGCCGGCAGCCCTCTGCCCCTGACCACAGGGAACGACAGCCTCGATATAACCATAGTTAAGCACTTCCAGTATTGCACGCAGCTCATTCAGGTACTGGGCCCAGCTCGTTTAGGGCGTATATTTTAAAATCTTCCCTGCAGGCAGCAGTGTGCCCGCAACGTGGGGTATGAGCAGGCTGGCAAGGTCAGCGCTGCTCGTGGGAGGCAGTTGGGAGCGCAGGGCTCGGACAGCCGCCTTGCTGGGGTGAAGGTGACACTGGACAAGCCTCCATCGTTTCCATCCTGGCCTGTCTCGGAGCAGACCTGACGTGCAAACTACGGGGCACTTTGCAGGTGCCACCCAGCAGGACTGACGAGCAGTGCGGCAGATGACAGGGGCAGCCCCTGCTCTGGGTTACAAACCTCCATTGGCTTCGCCGGGAGGTCCTCAATGAGATCGGTCCCCCGTTAAGGCAGCCCACGTCTTCAGAGGTAAAACAGAAGCCCGTGGCCCTGCTGTTTAACCAAGCCGCAGACAGGGCTGTGATGTTCAAGAGCAGAAAATAATTTCTGTGTGTGAGGTAGAGAGATCGTCTGCAATACACACAGTGAAGGCAGCACATGACAGCCCCCCGGGACATCAAAATTGTCTGCTCGTGCTCACAACTAACTAGCACAACCTTTTAGAGTTGGGTTTTTTTCAGAGCCGAAGCACAGCAAATGTGATTTTAAACCTCCAGCAAGCCACTCCAGCAAGTGAGGGCATCAGGGGTTTCCTGTGAATCAAAACATACTGCAACTTCCTCTTTACAATTATTTGACTCTTCCATCTTAGATACAATTAGCTTCATTTTCCCAAAGGTCCACTGAAGCAATAGAGAGCAAGCCTGATTCCAGCACCCTTAGTGCTGAGCTGGGCACTCTGCTGACTCACAAGTATGAGAAAAAGGGAGGTTTGTGGTTTAAATACAAGAGTAGACAGTAAATATGCAGCTGGGGGAGGTGAGCTCGAACTATGTCCACACACGGAGCGGATTTGATATGAACAATGTTTATGTGGACTGCTGAAGAAAATACAGATGTCAGCAGCAGGGAGTATTAGCAAGGAAAAAGTACCAAATTAATAAAGGCACCTGAGTAGTTGATCAGAGTTGAAACAGAGTGGAGAAAGAATGACCTGTGGTCTACCTCCAGGCAGGTATGTCCTGAAAGTCCAGAGCCTATGATATGTGAAAGTCAGACTAATATTCTCTTCTGGCTTTAAGGCTTGTGATGATGAATTCCTTTAGCTTTGCAGAATGTGTAAATCAGAAATTACTTATGCAAATGGCTGCTTGGATACTCAAGTGTCTGGATCTGGATGTAGATGTTAAAGATATAAGCAACAATGCATATCAACCAGGACCATAAAATACCCCAGAGACAAAAAGCTTTGGAAGTTAAGGAGATTCCATGGTTCCACACAATGAATTTGCCATTGCACTTCTTCAGGTGCCAGGTGTTTTGGAGTTTTTTGCTTTCTTCTGTGGTTTTATTTTGGTTCAATGACTTCTTTTCCTGTCTTCCCATTTGTCTTCACCAGCAAATTGTGTTCTCCAGTAAAACACCATTCGTGGCAAGAGACCTTCTGGATAAGCTAGCCAGGCAGATTGTTGTGATGGAGAATATTGCAGAGATCAGCACTGAGAACTTGGGAAACATCACCTCCCTTACTGATGGTAAGAGACAAATCAGGGCATTTCCTTCTGAAAAGGGTTTGCTTGAGCATGTGTGCCTGCTGAAATAATTGCTGTGCAGAGCTCGCCATCACTGCAGGAGATGCCACCATAGTAAGGGCCAACTCACAGTTACCAACAGATGTAGCAGTCACCACAGCAGGTCAGGGGCCTTCTATCTTCAGTGCTGGTGTCCAGAAATAAGCAGGTGAGAAGAGAAAGGACTTCTTATCCTTCTTGATGTGCAGAAGATGGACAGAGATCATTGCTGTGGTGGAGTGGGGATGCTGACACCTCTGAAAAGCCAAATTCTTCCTCCACTTCTCTTTCCTGAGGAAGGGCAGGATCTGCCTTATACTATCAGAGGCATAATACAACTTCTTGAACATTTTATCCGTTTTGGTTTTAGTCATCTCTATGGAGAATTATTTAGTTATTTTTCTTGTTGTTGCATCTATTTGAATACCTTGGAAGAGTTTGACAAACACTTATTCACCCTTGTGAACACTCTGGTAAGATAGGTAAATACACCATGGTGCATTTACTTTGTTTATCAGAAAACTGAGGCAAAATTGAGTGACTTACCCAAGGCCACAGAGCAGTGCTAGGACAGGGATCAGTCTTGTGCAGACAATTTGTGGTATTCCCCTAGTATTTCATGGTATTTAAAAGGATGAGACATCAGTGCCCAAAACTGGATCAGGAGCAAATTTTCTCACATCCTACCATGGGAAATGGAAAAAACACGTTACAAACTTGGGGTGAGCACATGATCACACTCTATGAAGGTAATGGGCAACCCACCAAACAGTAACTGTCCATCAGTGGGCTGGGGTGAGATTTCCTCCACTCCTACCATCTTTTCTCTTCTGGAAGTCAATGTTTCCAGCATGGCTTTGTTTCGTCACTCATTTTGTCTTCTCCACCAGCAATTCCAGAGTTCCACAAGAAGCTGTCGCTGCTGGCATTCTGGACAAAGTGTACTGGCCCTTCAGGAGTGTATCACACATCTGCAGACAAGATGATGAAGCAGCTGGATATCAATTTTGCCACCACTGTGAATGAGGAGTGCCCAGGACTTGCAGAAACAGGTACCAACTGCGGCAAAAAAAAATGGTGTTGGTCATCAAAATGGAGAACGGTTGTGTACTGGGCTTTACTCAACCTTCATTGCTTTGTTTTCCATTGCTTTGTTTGGCCATGGCTCCAAGATCTCATTTGAAAATTAGTACTACAACTCTTGAAACAGTTTTGGCCCAAAATAATCAGATCAGCATAGGAGAAAAAGGCGAGGTCAGCAGAAAAGAAAATACTGGTTTATGGTTTATGAGCTATTCGGAAAGTAAGTCTATTCCCAAATACAGGTTTATAAGTGATTCAGTGAAGTAGGAATCCTCTCACTTTTATGTGTTTGTATAATGTCCATGCCCCATCACAGTGCACTGGGATGAAATTCATACATACTCAAGTGAGTCAATCTGAACATATGTTCCTGTTTGGAGTGGGATGTACCACATCTCAAACTCCAGCTATACTGACTAGCTCTCCCTGGGACATTACAGGGATGTAGAGTGACTTGCTCAGGTGTGGGTACCTGCACTGCAGATGCCTACCCAGGGCAGTGTTTTTCTTCCTGCTCCATGCTACAGCTCTCAAAGACAGTGCCTCAGACTAGCTTTCTGCATGCCACATGCTCACACAGGAACATAAAAACAAGCAAAGTCAAATCCTGCCTCTGTGTGTGTCTCCCCTACTTCAGTGGCATCGTGGAAATGTAACTGGCAGTGCGTGAGGATATGTGTTTAGTGATTCAGGATATCATTTGGGTAGAAAGGAAGCTGTACTGATCAGGTAGGAAGCTGCACTAGCCATCTGTAAACTGGCAGAGGTTCACCCTTACAAAGATACCCTCTGGTGATGAGTGGCAGACAGTCTAGCTTCTAGCCTAACCACAGCTGAGATTGGAAACGTTGGGAAGTATCTGGCTTTGCAAATATGGTTCTTTCTTTCTGACCCTGAAGTGGACTGCGGTGTTTTGTTAGCAGCTTTTGCTCTCACTAACACATCCCTTTGTCTGTGGCTTCCTGCAGTCTTCAGGATCCTGGTGTCTCAGATCCTGGACCGGACGGAGCCCGTCCTCTACTCCAGCATGTCCTCCGAGATCATCACCGTCTTTCAGTATTACAACTATTTTGCCAGCCACAGTGTTAATGACCTTGGAAGCTATTTGCTGCAGCTCGCAAAAGAAGGTAGGATAGATAAATTCTGGTGGCTAATGGGAGAGTACATCGATGTCTTTCTGAGCTCAGCACAAAACAGTTCAGCCTTGAGTGAGGCTGGTGTTACAAAAGAAGGGGGGAAATGAGACAAAGAAGTGCTTTGAATGCTAAGTCTGAATGCACCTGAACAGTTGTACCTATCAAGGGAAAGGAGCCAATGCAGATAGACCCTCAGACATTTCTATTTCCATATTCAAATGGGGAAAAAAATATGTTGAAAGAGTTAGTTTTTAGGAAATGGCTGATGGTGGTGGGCTGGGCCCAAGGTCAGGGAAATTTTCTGTGCCCACAGCTTGGATGATGTTCCAGTCTTTTATCACCCTTTACGGAGAGATCTTCTGAAGCACTGAGCTCTTCTCATGAGCCAAGGGATCATAGCACCTCAGTGGTTGGCAGGCTCTGCCAACAAGCTACAGAGAGAAACAGACACTCCACAGAGCGTGCTAGACTGCAATCCTTGGCAATCCAAGTTTTCTTCTCTATTTGAAAAGGAGTTTGAGGAACCTTGCCTAGTTTTCATTTTTATTTGGGCAAACTGGGAGCTTTTGCTCAAAAACCTGGAAAGAAGAAGGCATTTCAGCCCACCTCTGAAACACACTAGCACGTGCTCTTGGTGAAAGACATTAATCTGCCTAGGAAAAGCTCTCACAAAGATGCCCTGGAAGGCAATATACTGACAGTATTGGATTTCACTTGTTATAGGGAGGATTTACATCTTCCAGAAGAAAGTGAAGTTTTGATAGGTAGGCCCTTAACTCCGGATAGGCGTAAGTGTCACAGTGTCCCACCCAGCCCATCTATTCATCTCCTCCTTTGGTAGAACATCTGAGAAACTGGCCCAACTTAAAGCAGACAATTCCCCATGCAGACACACCACAATGTGGATCCATAGCAATTTCTCAGATGGGGATTTTTCATGTCCTTTGTGTATAGTAAAAAATGAGTATTGCTAGCAGGGAAAGGAGCAATCTGAAATATTGAGGGGATAAAATAAGTAACAAGGATGTTCCTCTTGCACTTCTAGCCTCTGTGGTTCAGGTGCTGCAGTCAGTGAAAGATGGAAAACTGCAGCAAAATGTGGCCAAAATAAACGCCAATAACCTCCCACCACAGCAAGAAGTTTTGAGAGCTTTGGCTTTACTTCTCAATGAAAATAAAAATGAAGTCAGTGAGACTGTGGCATCACTTCTGACAGCTACCGCAGAAAACAGGCACTTCAGGGAGAAGGTAAGTGGCAGAAAATCACCTATCACTTAAGAGACCTGTATCATCATGACATTTTTTCTGCCTGTGTGTCTCAAATGTCTACGCGTATAAAATAATTGCTCCAATCTTGATTTAAACTGATCCAGAGGGATTTTCTGTCTAATTTTTCAGCAAATATGCAAGTCTCTTTCTGTTGTTATGCCAGTCTGCTTCTACCTGTCATCACACTAAACAGGTACTAACCAAAACTCTGCAAATACTTACCGAGTGCTGTGCTCTCCAGCTATCTTCCACACTTCAGCATTTCAGACTTGGGTTCAGTCCAAGGCATCAAGACGACAGTCCCCAGCATCATCAATGTGCAAAGATGTGGGTCTGAGGTTTTTATCTTTTTCCCAAAGAAGGCTGGCATCTGTGGGACCTCCCAGCATTTCTGGAGGGGACGAACTGCCTTGGACAAACACAGCCTAACTGTGAGATCTAAGATTTGAGTCAATCAATCACAGATACCAAAGGCAACAAGCAGGGCCAGATTAAACAGAGGAATTAGAGAAGGGAGAAGAGGAATAAAAAGAAATTAGGGGTTGGCTTCTACCCTTTCATGGCAGACCCTTCCCTACTATCCTTCTTGTTCCCCGTCAAGAGGGAGTGAAAGAAAAGGCAGTTGGAAGAATGGTGGAAGGGAGGCAGAGGGAGGAGAAAAAGGAGCTCACTCTTTGCTGTTCTTTGTTGATCCAGTCCCCTCTTTGTTTGCCCTCTTGCTTTATCTTCCATTTTTGCAGCCTCTTAGTATCTCATACCATCCTTCCCCTGGATCTCAGGGAAAACATAACCTTCTCCTGGAAAAGGTGTATGTAGCTGATACCTGGTTCACTGCCTGCAGGAAGGACCACAAGGTGCCTTGCATGAGGGCAATATGCAGCCTTATGCTGCAATGAGTTCATTGCGCAGCAAACTGCCACTGAGATTTGCTGCTCACACTGGTTTTGTTTGCTCAGCAATAGCTACTAATTTCTAGGACCAAGCAGTAAACCAGTCTAGCAGCTCATGCTAACCTTGTAATAGTTATTTGCAGGCCCCCTGGGGTCTGTCCGAGCCTGTTCCTTACTATTGCTACATTAGAGAGACCATCTCAAGGGTCAACTCTTGACCTATTTAGACTCCGAGGCCCATTTAAAGCTCTTTGGTGATTTATGCAGAAAGGCCCGTAAGGTGCCAGATTGTGCTTCTCACTTTAACATCAACTTTTCCTCAGCAAAAGCTCCGGCTATGAGACTACAGACTCCCACCGAGGTGTTACTAGTGGCCTGGGCTGGATCTGTGGTAGGGAATTATCCCACCACGTTATCTGTGGCTGGGGCTGTGCGTCTCTGTCCCACGCCTTTGCTTTCAGGAAGCTGGGCTGCAGTCCCTCTCTCTTTAGTAGGGTAGCAATGCCTCCACGCTCACCCTTCTGCTCCACACAGGCACAGACGTTTTCATTGCTACTCTTCTTTATCTGTTTTCAGGCCTTGATCTATTACTGTGAAGCACTAACCCAGCCCAACCTCCAGCTGCAGAAAGCAGCTTGTTTGGCTCTAAGATACCTCAAGGTAAGAGACAAGAAATTCAGTTGTGGCACTTTTTCAGTTGTGGCTTTACTTTTAAGAAAGGACATCCGAAAGGTACAAATGACAAAATAGAAATTGCAATAGCAGCAGTGCTTTTGTTTTGCAGTGCTGCACTGCATCCTTTTACAGATACCGTGCTGTTTGGGAACATTTTAGAAGCTTCATTTCAAAAAAAGCCAGGCTCTGCGACGATGAAGAAATGTATCTTTTCCTCCCTCTCATATTGATTTTAGGAGACTTACTTCCACATCACAGAGAAAAAAACTATTCATCTGCAGAGTACTGACTGAGAGAGGAAAAAGTCATCCTCTCCCAGGATAACACTAGCTGTAATGCACGTGGGTTGCAGTGGGAGAAGAGAAAGGTAGAGACAGGTCCCGGCTCATTTTGTGACAGCACACAGAGCGGCTGTAAGCAGACAAACCATACGGACAAACAGCTGGTACATCTGGTTGGTACAGCTTCAGCTAGTGTCTGGTACCATTTCTGCACTCCCATGACAGGAAGGAAACATGCTGCTTTTGTTTTGGCTGTACAGAGCCATGGGGAACAGCAGCCACCTGAGCCTGACTGGTACAGACAGGACACCGGGCCAAAAAAACGTGTTCCATCAGACAGACCCACTGCAGACAGACTATTTCTCCCTCAGAACTATCCCTTGGAGAAGACAGCTTTAATATGTAATAATCCCAGCCAGAACTGATACCATCCAATACATAATCCAATATTGTTTAAATACAGAAAAACTGTTTTTCCTTGACTGAGATGCTGGCAGGAGTCTCTGAGGGGCAACGGTGAGGGACACTACACCTCTGCTGCATGCAGGGCGCAGTGGGGGTTTTGATCTCTCAGGAAAAGGCAGACTAGGAACCAGTGGTGGGAACTGATGCTAGACACATTTAACTTGAGCAGCGTGGTTCCGATGCATCTTGAACAGTAAGAATGGCAACTGCTGGGAAAAAAAACTACTGAGGGAAAGGACCTCCATCATTTGGGATCTTCAAATAAAATGCTGAAGCCTTTCTGGCAGATATTATTTCAAGGATGGGAATGCGCCAACTGATAGTGACTGTGGATGAGCTAACCCAATGGCGGTCTCATCCACATCAAACCACATCGGCCACACCAGGCCCCACTCTGCATCTGTGTAGCTGTGGCCCCATCACTCACGTCAGTGTTTGAGCTGTAGTCACCAGTAGGCAGCCAGTGCAGGCTTGCCCTGAGTCAAGCACAAGTGACCAAGTTCAAAATGGGGTGCTGAGATTTAATGGCTATGGTAGCTAAGCCCTGATTCAGAGCATCCTAGACCAGACCTCTGTGCCCTTCAGATCGACTGGGCTCATACAAATCCTGACTCTGTGGCTCAGCGCTTCTTCCATGTTGCATGCTGGGGCAGGACCTGCCTTTCCTTTCCCTCCTCTCTTCTTGTTGTGTTAAATAGCCTGCCAGAGACACTATGACAGCTCAGGCCTGATGTTTTTGTAGCAGAGCAGAATGGGATTATTCCTTGCTTTCTTCCCAGAATAGGAGAGGTGAGGCAGAAGTGTGGACACGTTGGGCGCCGGTTGGATGTGCTATGGTGAAACTCGTTCCCTTGCTGCCTGTCTCCTGTCCTCCTCCCTGCTGTACCCGTACGTGCCTTGGCACATTTGTGACCTTGTCCCATGGCCCATCACCCAGCCTACAGTCAGAAGAGGCAGACGTAGCTGGTCAGCCAGATTTATGCATGTAGCACATTGGGTAGGGAAATCAGAAAGGGTCCATGCTGACAGCAGAGAATATGCCTCCTCCTAGATGCTCCCCCTCAGGGAAAGCCCATTCCCCATGTCCCCACCAAGGCCCTCCCCTTGGAGCAGGAAGGGCAACACAGAGGATGCGGTCACGATTTCCACGCAAGGTTGTGAAATAAAACCACAGTGCCCTGTGCGGTGCTAATGCGGTTCTTTTTGCACTTCCCAGGCTGCTGAGAGCATTAAAATGCTGGTCACACTCTGCCAGTCTGACAATGAAGAAATCAGAAAAGTGGCGTCTGAAACCCTGCTCTCATTTGGTGAGTTACCCGTTTTAGAACAGTATTTCATTTTCTTTTTTAACAGAGCAGCATGTTATTCACCTGAGTTATACAAATGTGAGACTCAACTGAAACGAAACTTTATACCTAGATACTCAAACACATTAGAAAATACATATTCTTAGAAATCATTCGTTTTGAAAATGATGAAAATGGACCAAAGAGAAGTGAAATTGCATGAGTCTGGAGGGGGAAGTAGAAAAGGAAAGATAGTAAAGGAGAAAATGACAAACAAAAATAATTCATAATGACTCTGAAGACCAAGGAGCCTTGAGGAGGCAGGACTGGCACACTGCCTGCTGCATATCTTACACCCTCCTCTTGGGGATCCCCTCTGATCACCCCTGTAGTGCCATTATCACACTTCAAGTGCCATTAGCACTGCCAAGTGTTCTGGATCTGAATTATCTTTACATGCTTATTTGGACAGATCCTAGCCTGCAAGTCCTCCTTCACATGGTACCTCAGGCACCTTGTATTGACCTTTGTTTGTCCTTGAGACAACAGATACCCTGTTCATTAACCTATAATCCAACTGCCTAGCAGTGAGTGACTGCAAGTGTGGCTGTGCAGTTTCAGGGTCCCAATAATTCAGTGACACAGAAAAATTGTATTTACCTGGCCTTTAGGCTAAGCACAAATTTCTACTCTGTGAGTATGCGTTCATCTGTAATTGTAGTTAGTTAGGCAAATTCTTCAAACATACTCTTTCA